CACAATCATTTAAACTATGTTAGCATTTTAAGAGAACTTAGGGAGGGGATCAGTAATCACAGCAATAGTTGTAAACTCCAAGGAGCAGGGCCCTCGAACCCCTCGTGTATTGTATTGTATTGTCACTGTACTGTCTCGTGTACTGTCTCCCATTATAATTTACAGCGCTGTGCAAACTATTGGCGCTATATAAATACTTGTATTATAATAATAATAATACCTAGATCCTGGAGTTGTGCTTTAAGATAAATAACCCTCTGTATTAGGGTTTATGTACAAAGCAGCTCTTAAACTGACATTCAGGAGCTGCTCAGCGTTTTTTTCAGCAGCCCCTGAGCTCTCCTTAATGTTTTCCTATGTGTCCATGTACACACAGTCGTTTTCAGGCAGTTGAGTTTACAGTCGTTTTTTTTAACGCACCAAATTTGCGTTCAGGAGTAGAATTTACCAGTGTTTCAAACACCAAACGCTTGTAAATGTGGTTAACCGCGTTTATAAGTGTTATCATGATGTTCCCTATTGGAATTGGGTGATTATAAAAATTGCTTACTCCCTAGTTTGGATAGATTGCCCTTGGGCGGTAGGGGCAGACAATTATCCTCTCTGCCTACCCCATTTGCTAATTTATTGGTGGAATTAGGCCTCTGGGATGTGTGGCGGATGAAGTATCTGACCGCAAAATGTTATTCATGTTTCTCTGCTACTCATGATGGGCTTTAGCGCATAGATTTGGGGCTTGGGAACTTGATTATCCTGCCATGTGTTTTATGCTGCGTATGAACCCAGGGCTCTGTCTAACCATGCCCCTTTCTGGGTCAAGCTACAGGTGCGTGATACCCGCTTCGTCCACTGTGGAAGGTGAACCCATTTTGATTGACGCTGTTTCCAGCGTTCGAGTTGATTCCAGGGGAGTTGTCAGACTTTCTGCAGCGGAATGAAGGCCTGTCCCCACGAGGAATGTTTTGGGATGCGATGAAGGCCTTCCTGAGGGGCTTGATTATCCAGGAGATTTCAGCGGTTAAGCGTAGATCCAGGGAGTGGGAGGAAAAGGTACAGTAAGATGTTCAACAGCAGGAGGTTCAGATGATCCAAGACCCAAGCCCCTGTAACTGCAACTCCTGGAAAGAGGCCCAGGCCCTTTATGAACCAGTGCTTACTCAAGTGGCTGATAAGAAGCGATTTTTTTTGCAACAAAAATATTTTGAGGAGGGGGAAAGTACAGGGCACCTTCTTGCTCTTATGGCGAAGTCACAACAAGGGGTGTCCACTATAGACAAGATTGAGAATACTGGTGGAGTGATTTGCACGAGTCATGCGGAAATCCTGAGAGTTTTTTCATCACTTTTACGACGATCTGTATGCTTCTAAAACTGTAGCCACCCATTCTGAGCTTTTGCAGTTTCTAGATACCTGCTCTTTGCCTGTTTTATCGAAGACTGACCAGAGAGAACTGCAGATGCCAATTACTGTTGAGGAGCTATATGAAGCTTTGGCAGGCACCCCCAATAATAGATCTCCGGGTTCAGATGGATTGCCATTTAAAATTTATAATAGATACGGTGTACAACTCCTCCCGGCATTGCTCAATGCGACGAATGCCGTCATGGATGGAAATGCTTTGCCCCCTCCATGAATTAAGCTGTTATTATAGTACTATTGAAGCCTGGAAAGATCGCTTCAAACCTGATTCCTACCGACCTATTTCCCTTTTGAATACGGACGCTAAATTGTTGGACTGCGTTCTAGCTACTAGACTGGTGCGGATAATTATTGGTAATATTGTACATAAAGATCAGTCGGGGTTTATTCCTTCTAGAGCAACGGCTAATAATATTTGCAGACTTTTTTTGAATTTGCAAATTCCAGTGGACAATCCTGGGGGGAAGGCAATTTTATCTTTGGATTATCTTTGGAATATTGTCTAGATTCAGCATTGGTTCCAAGTTCATTAATTGGTGCTTCTTCTCTATGCGGCCCCTAGTGCCCAAATCCAGGTTAACGGGGATTTGTCAAATTCCTTCAGGTTGCAGAGAGGGACAAGGCAGGGCTGCTCTCTCTTGCCCCTTTTGTTCGCTTTGGCGTTAGAACCTTTGGCGATTTTGGTGCGACAGTCTCCGTACATCATCGGTTTTACAAGGGATGTTCTTTCGGAAAAGATATCCCTTTATGCGGATGACACACTGTTATATTTGGGCGATACTTCCACATCCTTAGATGCTGTTATGTCCCTTATTGAACGTTTTAGTAGATTTTCCGGCTTTAAAATTAATTGGCATAAATCAGTGTTGATGCCCATAGATCCTGTAGATCTCCCGCTCCCTGTCTGTGCACAACACATCCAAATAGTGTCTACATTCCTAAGAAATGGTTTCTTCGCATAGAGACCCAGTTTAGGAGTCTTATTTGGAAAAAACAGGTGGCTAGGATAAAATTGTCCATGTTGCAATATGGCAAGGAGTCGATTGGGGGGGGGGGGGGGCTGGCAGTTCCTGAGCCTAGATTTTATTTTCTGTCAGCCCAATTGCAGCAACTGGATGGCCTGATAATACTGATTCCATTATAAGTTTGATTTCCCTTCCGGATCCCACCATTTTGGTTCTTTCTCATCTTGAGATGGCTCTACCGGTCCTTCCATCCATGGCTCCAACCGTGGACTTCTTGAGGTGAGTCTGGAGTATAGTAAAAGCATCCTTTCATATTACTGGCTTTCTTTCATGTACTCCCTTGTGGAACAATCCGCAATATATAGAACTGGCTAAACTGGACGGTTTTCACAATTGGAAGGATGGAGGCCTGAAATTTATATCTCAGCTGTATTTGGGGGGTAATCCTAAAGTCCTTTTCACAACTGCAAATGGAATTTACATTTACACATAAGCATTTTTATTGATATCTTCAGCTACGCCTTGCGATACAGGCTCAGTCTTCGCTCTCTAATCTCACATTGACATACTCAGTTTTTCTTAAGGATGTCACTCAGGCAACCCATAAGAAGGGCATGATTTCTCGGGTATACTCCCAGCTGTTGTCCACAGTACAGGATCAAGCTAGTCTCCGAAGTAGGGTGCAGTGGTCCCGGGATATTGGAGAGTTTGCTGGAGATGTCTGGGATGCTGCCCTGGAATCTGTTCAGGTGATTTCTCTTTCTCCATCTCATAAATTATCTCAATTATGCAATAGCCCTATTGTTCAGCCTTATACACAGGCCTATGCACTAGCCCTATGCACAGCCCCATACACTAGCTCAATGCACAGTCCTTATGCACAACTTTATTGATCAGCCCTATGCACAGCCTCAGCCAACAACCCTAAGCACCAGCCCTATTACTCAGCCCTATATGCAGCTCTTTTCTCTAAACCCTAGATCACCTGCCTGGTGGTGCTTACATCTCAGGCTGCACTCCAACACTGTGCCCAGACTCTCCCTTCCAACTTTTTCCTGCTGTATTAGAGGCACCATCCAGCAGAAGTCTCAGAGTGATGGCACCCTCTGCAGAACAGAAGGACCTAAGCAGCTGCTCTAGTAGTGTTTACACAGAGTTCCAGATAAGATCTGGAATCCTGATCCTTCTATAGCCTTCTTCAGCTATGGACACTCTGTGAATGGAGGAGGGTTGGATCTCCATATCCCCCTTATCTATGCCCTTGTCTGATAGACAGTAGTAAAAACAATTGAGTTCCACATCTGAGGTGAAGCTGTGTAGAAAAATTGTCTGGCACATTTACAGTGCTTTATCACCAAAATAGGCTAGGAGAGGGGGCAGGAGCTAGTAACGATGGCATTACCCAATATTGTTTAACCTAGCAGAAAAAATATGGATAAATGTGAAATATAAAAATGAAACCTGTCCAAATAAAACTGAATAAAATGCGAGAAATAGATGGGGAGTGGGACAAGCAGTTAACCAGCAACTACAGTTGTTAACACAAAACAATAGTCCTAAAAAAATATTTAACTCTCCATACTGCAATCCACAGTAATTTAGTGGAATAGAACAGAGTACAGCACCATATAGCAACTAATTCTTATTTCACCTTTCTAAGCCTGCTGACCTAAGTTCCAGTATCAGGCACTACATTATGATTACAAAGAATTAAGTCTTTTATTAAATTATAAGACAATGCAGTGTGAGAAAAGAAACTCAAAAACTATACTAACCAATTGTTGTGTTCAATTTGTATGAAGTTGAGGGCTTTACCTGTATGTTTTTCAGATCATATTTTCTCATAGCTTTTAGATCTGTTTTGGATGGTACTTCCATCGGTCAATTCATGCCTATTACACCTTGATAAAAAAAAAAACCTAGGTACCACAGCCAAAACTACCTTAAAAATACTTTTTTTCTAATTGAAATTAATCAGATTGGGGTGCTGTTGTATTTAAGCTAAGCTCGATATAAAAATTTAAAAATCAGTTACAAACTCAAAATATGTGATGCCAGATGCTGTCTGTGAAAATCACACTGTTCCTTATAGCTTAACATACAGTTTAAAGACAATTTTCAAACATGCAATGTAAAAGGAATGGTGTTCTTTTTCCTTTGAAGTTGCATGAAAACGTTCCTCTTCCATCTGTATTTTTTAATATTTTTTTTGGCTTTGGTAAATGTTCCCCATAGTGGCATGCAGCTCCTCTTGCTCTTTTTTGACAATAGCTTGCTCAATAGCTTTGAAAATGGCCATAAACCTCAGTGGGATTCATTTCTAGCAAATTTCAAACTGGATTCCACAAACCACCATCCCCCTCCCCCATGAATTAAACCTGGGCAGATTCACCCTTCCCTAAATACAGGAAGAATTTAGCCTTAAACTTCATATTTCAAAATTTTACTAAAACCGTTGAAACTTTGTGTTTACAGCTGTAAGAGGACAGGTGCATTAATTAATATAAAGTCTATTATGGGTTTTAAAAGAAGAAAACATCTAAAATGATCTGTTTTGTTCACTGGTTTTTTTGGTAACATCTGTAGAACTTTGTTAGCTACTTTTTTTATTATATTTTATAATATCTTTGCTATATGTTTTTCTCTAATTTTCATCAATGATCTTGCAACCTCCTTGTTTCGTAAACTATAGATCAGTGGATTTAGCATAGGAATGATCATGGTGTAAAATACTGAAGCCACTCTATCCTGGCTCATAAAGTAACTAGTGGATGGTCGCATGTACATGAAGACAATGGTACTATAGAACAAACTAACTGTCATTAGGTGAGATGTACAAGTTGAAAATGCTTTCTTCCTGCCCTGATGGGATTGGATATGCATTATAGCAGAAATAATATAACTATAGGATACCACAATTGTTGTGAGCGAACTAAATTCAGCAAGCCCTCCAAAGATGAACATCAAAAGTTCATTCATAGTAGTATCTACACAGGACAGCTTTAAAAGAGGGGGGACATCACAATAAAAATGGTCTATTATGTTACTTCTGCAGAATGGCAGATGAAAAGTACAAGAAGTATGAATTGTTGCATTGAGATACCCTCCAAGGTAGGCAAATCCTATGAGCTGTCTGGTAAACATCTTGTTCATAACCATCATGTACAATAGAGGGTTACAAATAGCAATATAGCGGTCATATGCCATTATCCCTAGCAAGAAACACTCAAGACTAACAGAAGCACCAAAGAAATACATCTGCATGACACACTCCAAGAAAGTAATGGACTTGGTAACTGACAATAATGTTGCTAAAGTCTTTGGTGTAATTACAGTGGAATAACAAAGATCTAAGAAAGAAAGGTTATTTATGAAAAAGTACATGGGTGTATGTAGTCGAGAATCTGCTTTGATGGCTGCCATGATGCCAATATTAGCCAGAAGAGTCATGATATAGAGCAGTAAAAATAATGCAAACAGGAAGATCTGAAGGGTAGGGTCATTAGTTAGTCCTAACAAGACAAAGTAAGAAGGTTTTGTGTTATTCCACATATCCATTTGATGCTTCCTTTTTCATGAGAAAAATGTATTTCTCTCTTCTTTCTCTGAAATATATGTAAACCAACACTCTGTTAATTACAAGGTTGCCTATTGTTCTAAATCCATAATTTAAAGTGATACTAAAGATTCAGAATATGTAAAAATAATAAACATGTCATACTTACCTGCTCTGTGCAATAGTTTTTCACAGAGCATCGCTGATCCTCCCCTTCTCAGGTACCGCACCAACGCTGCTGCCACCCCGCACTCGTGCATGTTCGCTCCCAAACCACCTTGTTCACTCCCCAGCTCAGCAGTGCCCCTGCTCCCTCCTCACTAGTTGTGATTGACAGCAGCGGCAGCCAATGAGGAGGGAGAGACCTGGGAGAACTGTTGCTTTTATGCACATTGCTGGATCAAGATCAAGATCAGGCTCAGGTAAGTATTAGGTAGGCTGAGGGAGAGCTGCACACTGAAGGTTTTTTACCTTCATGCATAAAACACATGAAGATAAAAAACTTCAGCCTTTAGAATAGGGGTGCTCAACTTGTGGCCCCATGGGCCACATGTGGTCTTTGGATCCCTCTGATGTGGCCCTTGAGCTCAGACCAAGGAAGCACACTTCTATTATATCTTGCAGGTTTGGTGCGCTTTCACAGTGCGAGTAAACTGCAGCCTTATAAGGGCTCAAATCAGTAAGGGCTTGTTTACATTTGCGTTTTTACCACACACCTTCTCCCCCAAACCACTGGTGTAGCATGGGGTCACAATATCAACCCTGCTTCATGTTCCAGGGGCCCATGCAACCTCCCTGTCACATTCTGTTTTCCACTTGAACAGGAGGGGTGGTGGGGGTGGCATATACAGGAATCGATCCTCTCCATTTTCCTCCTGCAACTGCTGAAAGCCGTCTTCTCCTTCTATCTCCCCCACCAGCATTCAGCAGCTGCAGGAGGAAAATGTTCATTATGCTACTTAATATAAAAAAAAATTTAATTCTGAACCATTTCATTTCATTGTGGCCCAGGACTGGATACCAAATCACTTAAGTGGCCCTTGCTCTTTAAGAGGTTGGGCACCCCTGCTTTAGAACCAATTTGATCTATCTATCTATCTATCTATCTATCTATCTATCTATCTATCTATCTATCTATCTATCTATCGTTTACATAGTTTGTCTTACTCAATAAATATATTTTTTTTTAAGTAAAGTAACTTCTTAGATCAGTGCAAGATAGATCCTGATTTGTTCATATGAGTTACTACAATTAAAGCATACCTAAACCATGTACGTTGTTGCACATGTTCCTGTAAAAAAGTGTAATTCTTTTTTTATGTCCTGCTTTCAATAAATAATACTAGGAAGCGGGTTTGACCTGTGAACGCTATCCCAAACTAGCTGTTTTTCTGAATGCCCCACTATGGCTTAATCCTACCTTGCCCCATTTCTTCCTGTTACCTGAGCCACACGCCTGGACTAAATTTCATATCAAAAAAATTTCACAAGTTGTCACTGGTTCTGTCCTTTCCCCTTTGTCTACGCTCTCTTCTACCTATAATGTTCCTGCATCCTATTTATTCCGATATTTACAGCTTTTCCATGCCTTCTGTGCTCAATTCCCTCCTCCTACCCTTTGACTCACTCAATCGGCCCTGGAAGAGGTTTTGTTATCTGATTGCTCGGTGAAGCCTACTTCCCATCTGTACTCACACCTGTTTACGGTTTCCCTACCCGCTCTGGGCAGCCTGCGGGAGAGGTGGTCAAGGGATGTTCCGCAATTAGATGATGATGACTGGGATGATATTTGGAACTTGCCTTTTGAAATTGAAATTGAAAAAAACCTGCTCCTCCATCTGTTCTGCTGTATAAGTGGATAATTCATGTTCATTTACCACTTTATAAGGATACTTACATGCACAGGGGATGCCCTAAGAAATATGATAGAGTGTGGTCCAAATGGCTGGCCGAACCCTCCACTGCCTCTGACATGACAATGCCCTGAGTAATATTGTATTTTATGATGTTTTTTGTATTCTATCTGGTCTTGGGGACATAATATATGCCATAATGTACACTAGGATGGGAAACTTTATATCCACACATTTATTGGTTGGTGGTGATAGCCATGTGAGTGTTTCGGAGAATCTTTGGATGCAGCCTTTTGTTTTTAATTTCTGGATGTATAATTCACCTTCACCCCTGCGAGGGTAGGACACATGTGAACCTTTGTTTGTGTTTTTTTTTTTTTTGTTGCTGTGTGTATGTCCTTAATATGTTAAACAGTTCAATAAAAAGATTAAAAAATAAAATAATACTAATACTAGGAAGGTGTATACATATTCCACTTCCTTTTCTAGGGTGGACATGCTTACTGAGCTCAGATGCAGCATTGTCACCCTGCCCTGCACACTCCTTAGTAGCACAACACTGCAATGCATTTGCACATCCTACTATAGTCCTCAGAATGCACACAATCACAGAATGTTCTTGCAAACAGTCTTCAAGATGTGCAGGGAGATAAAACATTGCAAAGTAAGAGGAAAACTGAACTTTTTAAAGGATAAAAATCCAATCCTCTTGTACCTAAAATATTCTACAAAACAAAGTTTTTGTGGGATCTACATTTCGAACCACTTCTTAATGAAAAATGTTTTTTGAATATTGCCAAAAGTGTTTTTTCTTTTGCTTTGAATGAAAACCATTTAAAGACATTTACTACTTTCACTTTTACTTACTTTTCATAATCAAAAGTAATAGAAAAGTAAACTAGCAGCAATACTCCAGTCCATGCTGCTCTACAACACTGTGGTTTGATTTTTTTTTTTATCTGGAAGGTTTGCTTTCTTACGTGCATACATCCATAGTAACACATACAGTACCTGCATAATGATCTCTCATCATCTTCATTAAAATCATATGACTGTGCTTCTTATATATCATAAAGCAGTTCCCAGAAGATTCTGATATCCTGCAGTGATTACCTTGTATGCTATAATTACAATCCCTAAAGAATATATTTGTGAATGACAGTTGAAAATATGTATCTTTTCATATTTGTGCAAGTATTTATGCAGATGCTGAACAACTAAAGTAATGTGAGCAAATCCAATTTTCAGTTTACTATATCAGTAAAAATTCACTGTATCAGTCATTTGTTTCTTGACAAACTGATGGAAAGATTGAGGGGGAGCAACAGGGAAACAATTAAAGAGAATGGGTGATGTGAGAAATACTTAAAGGGGTCTATTTATAACTGTTTTTTCACTCAAGATTTACACAAATTTATCCAAAATTAACACATTTTAAAACATGGATTGCAATGGAAAGTGCACAAACCCTGCGTGAAAATTGGTTGTGCGAATCTTGTATGAAAACATTAATAAATAGACCAGAAATGTGTGTGTGGTGTTTTATAAGTAGACCCCAAATGTGTGTGTGTGGTGCTTTATAACTAGACCCCAAATATGTGTGTGGTGCTTTATAAGTAGACCCCAAATGTGTGTGTGGTGCTTTATAAGTAGACCCCAAATGTGTGTGTGGTGCTTTATAAGTAGACCCCAAATGTGTGTGTGGTGCTTTAGCATATACTGCACTTGTGTAGTGTTAGTTTGGTATACACGCACTTCTTGTCCCTGCTAGCTGGGTCAGAAACCCCTGAAGTAGGAAATGGAGAGAGGGAAGAACTGAGCCACATGATCTCACACACACAGGAGCTGCTGTATATCTTCCAAACCAGAAGCAGAGACTGTTATGTACTATAAGGCTCCATGTACACTGCAGCTGATAAACTCACGTTTAGGAGCTTTTCTGCATTTTTTTCAGCAGCCCCTGAACTCTCCCTAATGTTTTCCTATGTGTCCATGTACACATCTTCGTTTGCAGTCGTTTACAGGCAGTTGAGTTTACAGTTGTTTTTTTGAACGCACCAAACTTGCGTTCAGGAGTAGATTTTATCAGCGTTTCAAACACCAAATGCTTGTGCGTTTGGAAATTTTTTTTAACTCTTCCATTTCCAGATGCTGTCCAGAGCCTTTTTTCATCATGAAAAATGCATGAAAAGCATTTTCCTGGTACTCAAATAGACCTGGTACACCATACTCTGAGGTTTTGCATGAAAGAAAATATGTTAGATGCTGCAATAATTTCTGCACAGAAATGAGCTGGAACACATCCAAACACCAAAAAAAAAAAAAAAAAAAAAAAAAAGGTAATCTCACAATCTCAACAAATACTGCTCTCTCTGCTTCTGCTCTCTCTATTTCTCTCAACATGTCTGAAAAAATATGTTTTTTACTGTTTTTCAGTGCATTCTGGGCATTTTGGAAGGTCTCCTGTGGTTATCTTTAAAAAACGCTTCTAAAAGCAAACGCTCATAAACGCGCATAAACGCACATAAACACGGTGTGCAAACGAGGCTAAAACAGACTTTTTTAACCTACATTTTTCAGCAGTTTCCATCGTTCAGAAGTGTTTTCCAAATGTCCCGTGTACATAAAGCCTAAGTATTCCTATGTTCCAATAGTTTAACCACAGCTGTACATGGCTTCTTGAATGGGTATCTGAATTCTTGCGACAGATGCATTTCTGTCCTTTTTTTATTATCTCACATGCACAGTGCCAGAGAGCTAGGTGTTTGCTACTGTAATGGTGTAGTAGTCACCTTCCAGTATATTAGTGCCTGAACCTGTTTAATGCAATAGATTTAAAAGTCCCCTTTCTGGCCCTCTCACTGAACAAATGGGGCAAGGGTAATTTTTTTTTAAATTATTGCAGAGCGAAAGTTGGGAGTCCCCTCTCTGCTTTGAGGTCCCCATACCGCAGTACTGGAGGGTCATCACTACCCCTTTGTCAATTGCCCTAGTAGCATGCCTTGGCCTTTTGCCCTGCTGCCTATTCCCCTCCATTTCTCAGCGATTCCTTGCTGTAAAAATGACAGCCATGCATTGCTTTGTAAGTACAGAAGCTATTACAGCAGCTACTGTTAAAAAAAACAACAAAACAATCTTTTTAA